CTTGAGCTGCAGCCAGCGATGCTGAGGTTCAGTGCAGCGTCACCCCTAAGCTCCACTCAGCACCTCCCTGCTTCCAGCCAGCCCTGAAGAACAGTTTGTCCTAGGGTCTGGCTAGGACCAGCGTTTCCCAGGGAGAGAGAACTGGGTATCTCTGCACGGTTGCTGCGTTCCAGACAGTGTGCTAAGCATTAGGCTGCCGAGAGAAGCCCGAGACAGCGTTGGGCTGTCCCCTGTTGCTGTAACAGAGCACCTGTGGCTGGCTGAGTTCTAGAGAAAAGAGGTGTCTTTGGGCTCATGGTCCCGGAGGCAGGGAAGTTCAAGGGCAGACTCTGGCATCTGCTAGGCTTCTGATGAGAGCCTCCAGCTGCTCCATGTATGGCCGAGAGGGGAAGAGCAGGTGGCTCCTGCAGGAGAGAGGAAAGGGGGCCCAACTCCAGGACAGCTGAATGCTCCGTGGCGGTCCCATCCCTGGGAACAAAACACCCCCCATGAGGCCCCACCTCCCCCGCTGCCCCCATTGAGGAATCCGGCCACAGCAGGCGTTTTCAGACCTTAGCAGTCTCTGTCCCAAGAGAGTTTCCGTCTTAATGAGGAAGGGGGTAGGTTCCACTGCTCCCTCCAACATCTCCTGGCTTTGCCACACAGGAAGGCGTGGGTGCAGGGAGGCACAAGGAAGGACATTGCCAGCTGTGAAGCCCCCGCCCCTCCAAACAGCATGCCAGGGAATTTCCTCCTGTTACCCTGCACCTCTCCCAGGGCACAGGCAAGGTTACCTGTTTTCAGTGAGAGCTTAGGAGAAGAGGCTGCTCTGCCTGCTGAGAGAGTCAGAGAAGGCTTCCTGGAGGAGGTGTCTTTTGAATAGGGCCTGGCAGGATGGCTAGGTGCTTGTCAGTGAGCATGTTTGACCAGTGGAGGGAATGGCAAGTCTGACGTATGTAAACTTCACATCCGACAGCTGTGGGGCCCCCACACCCCAGGGAGGGGCTGAGCCAGAACTCTGGGGAGCACCCAGTGCAAGGGGTGGACAAAGGAGGAGCACAGAGCAGTGTCAGCCTCAGACCCCCTTAGCCCCGCGCAGTCACACCTGCTGCTTCTGGCCCTCCCCCAGCTCCTGGGAGAATTCAGAGATTTCTCATCCCCCGTAGACCGTGTCTGGAAACGCACAGGGCTGCAGTGGGTCAGGAGCTGAAGATCTTCCCAGCTGATGTGACAGCTTTTCGTCCCCAACCCTCTCTCTCCACACCCCTCCCACACACGCACACAAACACATCCCGAACTGTCCAGCCATCTGTTTGCGTGGGTGTCTCCTTCAGAACCACTCCCCTGAAAGAATCCAATGACTCCGTTGTGCCTCATAGCACCCACCCCGGGGTGGCTGATAGCCCGGGAGGAAGACTGAAGTCTGCCTCCCCCAGGGCTGGGTTCCTTCCAGGCTGGACATGGGTGGCAGAGGGATGCCTGGCTCGGAGGTGCTTCTGCATGGGGCCAAGGCCCTGCCCCCAGCATCACCACCACTCCCTCCCCACGCTGGGCTGCAGGAGACCTGTGTAGGAGCAGCCTGTCCCACCCCGGCTCACCCCAGCCTCTCAGGAGCTCCTGCCACATCGTGGGAGGCTTCCCGCCGTCTCCCTGCTCCCTCCAACATCCCAGGAGGCATGGGTGCAGGGAGGCACGGGGAAGGACATTGCCAGCTACAAAGCCCCCCGCCCACCCCAAACAGCATGCCAGGGGATTTCCTTGTGTTACCCTGCACCTCTCCCGGGACACAGGCAGTGTTACCTGTTTCCAGTAGGGATAGTGAGAGTCAAGGTCTCGGGGCTCCCAGGTTCCAGAGCTGGTCATCACAGTCAAGTCTGTCTGACTGCAGAGGGTTCGCTCCCCCTGCCCCAGACACAGCACGAGCATGGCACAGCCTCTCTTCCCTACCCCAGAGCAGCCAGCAGCATGGGGGCCCACTGCCATGCCAGCCAGGTCAGACATTCTGCCCATACCCCAGCCGCACACTGGTCGCCCCGTCACTGGGGGACTCCATACACCCAGCACCTGCCCTCTCCTCCTCACGTCCGAGGGTGGTCAGCCCCGCAGCTCTTCTCGCAGCCTGCCCTGCAAGTCTGTAAGCAGTCCTGATTGGCCTCTTTAGAGTCCCAAGTAGAAAGACCACCTCTGGCTCCTGGATTGCAGCCTGGGTGTCCTGCAACCTGCTATGCTTTCCCGGGAGAGCCCTGGGCACAGAGTCCTGGGGCGGGGAGGAGACTTCGGATCCTGCTGCTTACCAAAGCGCAGAAGACGAGGCTGGAGAGGAGAAGGCCAGAGCCCGAGAGATCCCAAAGGCCAGGCCAGGAATCAGTGGCTCTTCCTGGCTCGTGGTCGGAGCCATTGGAGGTTTGCAGAGCGAGCGACTGGCCACCTGGAAGTGGAGGAAGGTCACCCTGGCAGCTCTGGGGAAGTCAGCCTACGTGAGAAACGCAGAGAGCCTGTGGCTAGCATAGCACCTTCTCCAGAGCGCACAGATGGAGAAGGTCTGGTGACCTTGGGTGCCGGGCTTGGCAGGTGAGAGGACACCTACAGGATTCCTGGCTGGGTGCTTGGGGATTCCATCAACCTTGAACGAGAATCTGGGAGGGTAACTGAAAAAGGAAAAATTGAGCATTCATTTTTTTTTTAGACATGTTGAGATTTGAGCTGCCCGATGCCCTGCTTGTGGAAGTGGAGGGATGTCCAGTAGCCCTCGGGTATCTGGCTAAGGAGCCCTGGAGAGAGGTTTGGGGGCATCAGCAGTGCAGGTCTAGGGGGTCCTCCTTTAAATCAGGTCATCGCCGCCTCCTGGCTGTTCTGGAAAGCCAGGCTTCTACACATTAAGGAAGGAAGGAAGGAAGCCATAAGCCAGGTCCCTTTTAAGCACCAGGGCATGTTCATGGCTCAGGCACCTCCTGGACCCCTAGGTGCTGGCGGCGTAAGCCTGGAAGGCAGCCCTTCTGAGCGACTGGCATCCGCAGGTGCTTGGCAAGCCTTGAGGACATGGTTAAGGACCCAGGAGGACACTGGGGACCTGGTGTGGATTCCCTGGCTGGTAGCTGGCACCACCCTCCCTTTGATATGCCAAGATTAAAACACATGCCAATAATTAACAAAGAAAGTCTATCGTTCATAGTAGACGCTGATTCTGCCTCTGAGCAGCCCTGTATGAACACACCAGCCCACGCCACCCCGCACCCGTGGCCACGTGTCTGACCGCACCCCCTGCGTGTTGGGAGGGGAAGGCTACCCAGCCTCCCCAGCAGGAGGAAGCCGCCATGTGCAACCTGCCAGCACCGCCGAGGATCCACAATGCCGTCCCCACGTGCTACCTGCAATGCAGAAGTATTTTTAGACTTTCCAGAAAGATCTCATTTCACAGTTTTTCTGAAAGGTTGTAATTAACCGCAGCGAGCAGAAGCATATATTTTAAAAATAAAAGTGGGGGAGGGAGAGAGAAGCAGTCCCGGCAGTTTTGCCAGTTCCTGTGTAGTGGGTTCATGCCATCCAGGGGCGGGGGCCGGTCAGGGCAAGCGGATGGAAGGCGAAACAGGAGCTGGAAGCGTGCTGTTTGCTAGTGATGCACCCTGCAGGGTGCAGGGCCCCTTCCTGAGAGAACCATGCCAGAGGCCTGGGACATCCTGGCTCCCCAGAGACAGACTTGTTGCGGGGGCTACAGGTCCTAATGCCGGCCCTTCCTCCTCCTGCTCTCTCTTCCAACACACAGAGCTGCCTCTGGGCCCCCCAGCTGTCTGTCCTTGACCCAGGTTGGCTGTGTGGCTTATGTTTATTCATAAGGTGGAAGATTTGATTCCCAGAAAAGGGCATCAGACAAGCGGACTTGGATGAAATGAGCCCCCAGGGCCTGTGTGGCAGGGAGGGAGGAGGCAGCGCCCGCTGAGGCCAGCAGGAAACAGGAAGGCGAGAGGCCTGGGCTCCCGTCCTGGCCGTGCAGCCAACCTACTGGGAGCCTGGAGTCGGAGGAGCGCTCCCGCCGGGCAGGAGGACAGGTGGCCTCTCCCAGCCTTGTTCCCGCGTCTCTCTGCTCACTGTCACTGTGGACTTTGTGGTCGAGTTGGCAGCAGAGCCCATGGTGCCCAGGTCACAGGAAGGAAGCAGCGCCCCTTCTGGGGGGCAGGGGGCGGTAGCATTTCCCCTGTGCTTGCCTACAGAGGCCCGCTGACCACTGCCCCACCAGACACCACCCCCAGCACATACAGGGCCCCGGGAGAGACAGCCCACAAGTGCCCAAGGACACAGGAGCCCCCTCTAGCAGATCCTGGTGGACTCCTGGCGACAAAGACTTAGAAAATCCACAAGCGGCTTCTCCGTCCTAGCAGTGCCGTAAGAATTTTGCAGCACGATGTCAAGCACTTGCTGTTTGATGGCGCCCTGCAGCCACCCCTGGTCTCCCGTGCACACCCTGAATCAGCGCTGTTTAGGAGTCTCCCTTATCACTTCCTCCTGATCTGTAAGTCCCCTGAGGGCAAATTCCCTGCCCTGTTCATCACTGTACCCGCCAGGGCCTGACACACGGAGAAGGCAACACCAGAGCCTCTGGTGTACCGCCCTCTATACCCAAGCTCCCTTCAGGACTGGGAGAGAGGACAGCACCCCCTTCACAGCCAAGACTGGAGTCAGAGACCGGGTTGAGGACTTGATTGCAGACAGCCGGAGAACCAGAGGCCTCTCACTTTCTACCCTGAGCCCGATTCCCTTTCGGATCGTTTTTCTTTAAACACATGCATGCCTGTGTGAATGAATGAGTGATGGAGAGGATGGAGGAAGTCATGGGAAACAGAGATGACGACAGGACCTGTGCAGGCTGAAAGGTGAAGAAAATGCAGAGTTGGTGCAGATTCCGGGTGTGCATCAAAGTCCTCCCCACACCGGGGGTGGGGGTGGCGGGAAGGGAGGCACTGTGTCCCGTCTTCCGTACTCCCGCCCTTCCCAGTCGCTTTGCTGACACCCTTTTCTCCCTGCAGATCCTGACAGTGTCCGGGCCACCGGAGGGAGGCACGCGAGTGACCATCCACGGCGTGAACCTTGGGCTGGACTTCTCGGAGATTGCCCACCACGTGCAGGTGGCAGGGGTGCCCTGCACACCCCTCCCGGGGGAATACATCGTCGCTGAGCAGTAAGTCCGCCCTGCCAGCCCTCTCCCCGTCTCCCATGGCCCCCTCCTCCCATGGACTCTGCCCAGAAGCCTGTACTGGGTGCTCTCCCACCCCAGCCCCTCCCTCTGGGGGGCCTGGTTCTGTTGCAGTCACTGTTCTCTTGCTCCTCTGGCCTCGCCTGTCCACTGAGCCAGCTTCTGTGCCAAGCCCAGGCTCCTCCTTGGTCCCCCAGCTCCTCCCCAGCAGCCCCCATTGGAATGCATCCCGCACGGTGGGCTGCAGGCAACAATTTGTTTGGTGCATGGGGTTCTGACAGCAGCTTAATCCGAGCAGGGCCTCCGCCGGAGCAAATTCATTTATTTCACTAAGGGAAATGTCAGCTGGAAATTAGAAAATAGGCATGTAGTGGAGGACAGGCGGACGGGGCTCCAGGAGTGACATATGTTCCAATTCGGGCTGTTCATTTGGCAGTGGCGGCCGCTGTGTGTTGGTGGGCAGAAGGTGGGCACGCAGCTGGGGGCGGGAGGCAGGCAGGAGAAAGGGAGGGAGCAGCACACTGGTCCACACCGTTCATCCAGCCGCCCATCTCCCCTGAGATCGCAGCTAGGAGCATGGCCAGGGGCACTGACTCGGGGACAGGGACTCCCTCCCTGGCCCCACCGCCTGCAGCCTCAGGTCCTGCCCTGGCCTCCCAGGGCCAGCCTTTGGGAGCCACCATGCAAGTGACGTCTGATGTTTCACCCACACTTTTCAGCTGGTGCAACACTTTCTCATCCACTCTCTCAGTTGTCACTGGCAAGGACCCCAGAAGGTCAATGTTGTGACTGCCACTTTGCAAAGCAGGAGAGAGCGGAAGACTCAGAGAAGCGAAGTGACTTTGTCCGGGTCGCTCCGGGGACTCCTGGCCCCAGTGCAGGGCCGTTTTGCTTCGGTAACAGCCGTGGCGCGAGGCTCTGGGACAGGTGTTGCCTGAAATCTCCAGGCCTCGGCAGGGTGGGCCTTGGAGGCTCAGGGACCAGAGAAGGGTCAGAGTCACACAGGGGGGGTGGGTTGCAGCCGCTGCAGGCCGTGGGACGCCTGCCGGCCACAGCAGGGGAGAAGAAAGCACTCAGCTGACCCCTTGGCTCCTCCAGAGCTGAGCCTGCCTGACCCCTTACTCCTGCAGGGAGTGGGTCTTGGCAGCAAGGCCGGCTGGGCTGCAGGGCAGAGCTGAAGGAGGGCGGGAAGGGCCTCAGTCACGCCCAGTAGCTCAGTGGGGCTTCTGAGCTGGAAGAGCAGGCGAGGGCTGTGGGGGCGGGACGAGGACCAGGACAGCGGGCCCCAAACTCGCTGCCGTGGGACACAGACCAGCCTCCAGCCTTGGCACAGTGCCGAGAAACTCCAGCGGGGAGGGCTGGGGCTGGGGGTGTGACAGGGCAGGAGGTAAGGCTTTGAGCTAAGAATAGCCAATTCCTGCGCAGCTGGCCTTCCAACACCTCCTGCGGTTTGGATTAAAGTGTGTTTAGCCCTGGCTCCTCTGCCGACCAGCCCCTCAACCTTACTTAGCAAGCTGTTGGGTCTCACTGGGCTTGTCCGCCTCTGGTGCTCGCAGGTGCAAGGAGCTTTTAGTTGGATCTGCAGCATCAAATGTACTACAGGCGCCCAGGGCCCAAGTGAGGATGTGAAAGGAACCTGGGCTGGGGGTGAATCCCCCGTCCCTGCCAAGGCCGGCCGTCACCATAGAAAGCTGCGTAGGGGCAGGCAGGAGGCGCAGGCATGCCCCTCACCTCACAGGATGCAGCCCTGGTGTCCAGCCGTGTCAGGTTCATTACCACTCTTGAGGGTTAACATCATTAAGGCCTCCACCCGGGCAGGGAGCAGCAGGCGCAATCGTTACAGATGTCCGCGGGACACGGGTTTGGCCGCATGGGCTCGGTGCAGAGTCCCGGGCACAGGCACTGTACGGATTCGCCATATGCTTGTGCTGTGCCATCTATCACTCGGCAATTAGGCTAATGCTGGTTTAAAGGACTCCACTTAGTCCTGCCGTCAGCACCCCGCAGGGCTGGGGAAGGCCGGATGATACCAGCCCAGGACAGTTTCTAGGCTCTGGGCGCAGGTTGAGGTGGCAGCTCAGGCCCTCCTGGAATGGGGCCTCTGCATGAGGCAGCTTCAGCTCGGGGCTTCAGACCCCTTCTCGCTCATCCGCTGCACCTGTGAGCTCAGCCTCAGGCAGATGGATGGTGGACGCATGAGTCCCCAACTGCGGGAAGCAAGGCACCGATGATGCAGATCTGTGGGGGGTGGGGAGGAGGTGAGGACCCAGATTAGTGCCAAGAGACTGGAGGCCATGCCTTAGCTCTTTTTTTTTTTTAATTTGACAGGTAGAGTTATAGACAGTGAGAGAGAGAATGAAAGGTCTTCCTTCCATTGGTTCACCTCCCAATGGCCACTGTGGCCAGAGCTGCGCCGATCCAAAGCCAGGAGCCAGGTGCTTCCTCCTGGTCTCCCATGCAGGTGCAGGGCCTAAGCACTTGGGCCATCCTCCACTGCCTTCCCGGGCCACAGCAGAGAGCTGGCCTGGAAGAGGAGCAACGGGGGCTAGAACCGGCGCTCATATGGGATGCTGGCGCCGCAGGCGGAGGATTAACCGAGTGAGCCACGGTGCCGGCCCCATGCCTTAGCTCTTAAGCAAGTCACCTGGCTCCCTGATCCGCTAATGCCTCATCTGGAAAATACTTATGAAGGGAGAGACAATCCCTGCAGTCATTCCACGGTCCTTAGGATGTCCCAAGCAGGAAACAATACTTCCGGTGGAATTGGCACCGCCCACAACAGAGAGCTCAGTGGGGGCCTGATGTGACAACAGGAGCCCCCTGTCAGCCAGGAGTGAGGCCTTGCAATAGGGAAGCTGGAGACTTGTTTGGTCCCATTCCTCATGGGAGAAATGTAGGCATCCTCAGCTATTGACTCCCAATAACACACTGGGAACCCAGAGCCGCCGGAAACACAGACACCACTCGGGAAAGGCGACGGCCCAAAAACCGCAACACAGGAACCTGCCTGACTCCTGAGGCCTGGGCGGGGGGAGGCGTGGAGGGCACACACTCCTGTCTGTAGCCATCCATAACCAAGAATCTGGGGGGACAAGAAGTTAGCTCCCAAGTTGCAGCAACCCAGTGAGGCCTTCCCCACAAGCCCCTGCCAACAACCTCACCTTCCATGGCTGCTGTGATCCTACTCCCCCCACCACCACCAGAAAACACCCAGAGCATCCATGAAAACTGTTCTGTAGAGCGTGGGCATTTGGCCTGGCAGAAACGTCACCACTCGGGAAGCCTGTGTCCCCTATCAGAGTGCCTGGATTTGGCTCCTGGCTCCACTCCTGATTCCAGCTTCTACTACTGCAGACCACAGAGGCAGCAGGCGATGGCTCAAGTAGTTGGGGCCATACACGTGGGAGACCTGAACTGAGTTCCTTGCTCCCTGCTGTGGGCATTTGGGAAGTAAACAAGCAGATGGGAGTGTGCTCTCTCTCTCCCTCTCTCCCACTCTCTCTCTCTCTCTCTCTCTCTCTATCAGATAAACACAACATTTGAGAGATCTAATGAGTAGAATGGACCGGTCAAAGGTGTGAGCTTTGGAGTCACACTAACCCAGATTCGAATCAGCCTCTGCCACTCCCCACGGCTCTGGCATCAGCCGACATAGTCACTAGCATCCCTGAGCCTCCCTGTCGCGGTGCATGTGTATAAAATAGATACAAGGACCCGCCCTGTAGCTGAGCGCACGGGTGACGAGGGAGCCGGTTTTGTGGAGGGCGTAGCTCCTGCTGTTATTAAGGTGTGGTCTGTGGTTTGGCGTGACACTCATTACTCAGTTCACCCTTTCCACTCCATCTCCCTGAGCTCAGAGAACAAGGGCCTGCAACACTCACTCACAGCCTCCCCAGGCCTTCTGCAGGTACCCGGTCCCAGGAAGGAGGGAGGAGAGGTAGAGGCGGCAGACTCTGTCCACAATGCAGCCTGATTTCCTTAGGTCTCTCGGCAGTTCCTGCATCTCCCCATCCAGGTATAATTCCACAGCCCACAGCTGACCCCAGCCCCCAGCCTACTCCCAGGGTGAGGAGAGGCCCAGCCACAGTGCTGAGGAAGCGCACGTGCTGGCCAGCCCTGGGTCCTCACGGCAGTGCACGCCCTGGGCCCTGCACCTGCCCTTCCACTCACAGACAACGGCACGTCCATCTCCTACCCAGAGCTCTTCTCTCAGGAGCTTATTTTTTGAGACACAAGCCCTGAGCAAGAGCATGTCCTAGAAAACACAGGGTGCCAAGTGGCCCCAGCCCATTGTATACTCCCAATGGGGACGGCAGAATTGGGTGGGACAAGGCAGGCCCAGGAGCTCCTCCCAAAGGGAAGTGTTTCAGTGCTCCACAACTGTCCTATGTTCTCATAGTTCCTTCTTTTTAAAAAAAATAATCTATTTATTTGAAAGGCAGAATTACGGAGAGGCAGAGAGAGAGAGAGAGAGAGAGAGAGGTCTTCCATCCACTGCAACAGCTGGAGCTTTGCTGATCCAAAGCCAGGAGCCAGGAGCTTCTTCCGGGTTTCCCACACAGGTGCAGGGGCCGGAGGAGCTGAGCCATCCTCTACTGCTTCCCCAGGTCATAGCAGAGAGCTGGATCAGAAATAGAGCAGCTGGGACTCAAACCGGCACCCGTATGGGATGCCGGTACTTCCAGCAGCGGCTTTACCAGCTGCACCACAGCACCAGCCCCTCGTCTTTCCTTTCAACATGACATCAAACCTGCAGTGACTTCTTTCTCTTCTTCTTGAGGACCACTGCAGCTGAGTGATGGGTGTGGAGGACAGGGGAGAAGCAAGGCCTGTGAGAAAGGAGTGAAAGAGACCTGCCTCTCCCCCTGCCCAGTGTGCTCTCAGTCACTGACTCTCTGGAGCCCCTTGAGAGAACAGGACCTGCTCTACAGAGCAGGGACCCACGGGAGCAGGTGCCAAGGCCTGGGAGGCAGGATAGGAGCATTGCAACTCCAAGCAAGTAGCAGCTTGAGAATAACCATGCATACACCTTCAACGAAACTCCCCGGCACTCCACCAAGGAGGCTTAAGGAGAGAGTTACACGTCCAATACTAATTGATCATCACTCTTATGTATTCCGGTTCATAATTAATTTACTATTCCTAGAGAAAGAAAGGGTGCGGACGTCATTCTTCCATTGGGCATTGAGTCCTTCCTGCCTGCATTTCATATACTAAACATAATAAGAGAGCTATTGCATGTTAAGTAAATATTCGCCAGGAGTACAAGTACTTATTTGGGATTAGCTGCTAGGAAGGAGATGGAGATGGGCGGCATACGGTGTGTGTGAGCGCGCGGCGTGTTTGTTTAATGCAAGTTTTATTATGTCGGGATGAAAGCTCCGTTTAGTTCCCTTCCTTCCTGAAGACACTGCTGAGATAAGCATCGCGCGGTTACACACGGATCTTCCTCCCCGCACCAGGGTCATGCTGGGGATTAGCAGAGTGGGATCTGTTTCCCGGGCTCCCCGCCGAGCAAACCTACCAGGAGCACCAGAGTGCCACGCTCTCTTAAATGGGGTGGGGAGGCAGGATTCTTCCTTCCCTCCATTCTGGAGTCCTTGCAGCTGAGCCTGGGGGTCTCTCCCACCTAACCCAGGCCCTGCAATTCCAGGCAAGAAGTACCCATCGAGAACCAGGTTTCTGCCAGCCCTCCCTGCCCTGCGGCTGCCCACCCTCTCTCCACGGCAGCCAGTGTCTAAATGTGCTTGTGTGATTTATCTCGGATACTTGGGGCGGTGGCACCGGGGGTATCGATCCCGCCTGCTTCAGATAGCACGTGGCTCGCCGCCTCCCTCCAGCTCTCCTGTGACTCCCAATCCAGGGCCGTGGCCCCGCCTCGCCCCCCAGCTTAAGTGCACACAGCCCTTGATGAAGCGGGAGTCCAGTGTCAATGGCTGGCCTAATGAACTGATCCCGGCTGCCAAGGAACTCCGTCTCCCACTTCGCTGGAAGCTCCCGTTCTGAGCTCTAGCTCACCGGATCACCCAGCTCCTTTTCGCGACTCGTGGCAGGGAGCAAACCACAATGCAATCAGCTTGGCAAATAGGCCAGCACCTGCTCTGGTTTTTTTCAGGGGATGGGGAGGGAATGTTGCAATGTTGGCTTGTCACAGAGGAAAGGACACCAGCTAACTGTGGCCCCTGACCTCTCTGTTGGACACTCAGCTTATTCTGCACGTGCTGGGTGCTGCCCGTTGTTGGGCACTGCATGGGACATGGACAACCACAGGCTTGGTCACAGAAGTGGGCAGCAGCGTGCGTTCCAGGCACACGGGGCTTCAGACATGACTCAGTCCAGCCCTGGCGCTGCCTAGATAAGACTGGAGCCCAGAGAGGGAAAGCATCTACCCAGCTTCACACAGCTAGCTGGGTGCTTGTGCTGAGTCTTGGTCCAGCACCACGGCAAGACTGTGCTGACTCATTCTCTGTGAGCAAGGCCAGCAGCTCCTGCCAAGCCTCTCACCTGAAGCTGTGCTGTGTTCTCAGGATCGTCTGTGAGATGGGCCACGCCCTCGTGGGAACCACCTCTGGGCCCGTGCGCCTGTGCATTGGCGAGTGTAAGCCGGAGTTCATGACCAAGTCTCATCAACAGTACACCTTTGTGGTGAGTACTGGGGCCGGGCCCAGCGTGGGCACTCATCTGTACCAGCTCCTCCCTGGAGGGCAGCAGACAGCTCTCCCCAGCCAGGCCCCTCCAGGCTTCTTGCAGACCATGTAGGAGACCAGCAAAGGGGATTTCTGGCCTCGCTGCTGTGCAAACCTGTCTTTCTGGGGTGTAATGCGGGGAGATCCTGGAGTTGCAGAAGGCCAGGGTCAAGGTTCTAAATAAGGCAGCGTCGAGCCTTTCTTAGAAAGCAGAGCCCAGACGTGGGGCAGGAGGGGCCTCTCTGTCTTGCCCGCACGATACCGTCCTCTAATTCCAGTCTAATGAGGATACATCGCCCGAGGGGCCTCATTAAGTGGGTCTATATTTATGCACGAGCTTTGTTTTCTGCCAAGGATATTTTAAGTGGGAGTTTAGAAGAGTCGCTGAAGCTGGCGTGTCTGTGCACAGGACCTCGGGAGCGAGGCACAACAGCCAGCCTGCCTGCATGTCGGGGCGGTCACACACACGCATGCCCACGCTCACACCTGAGGTCTTTCCTTCCCACTCACGCCACAAGTGGTAGGACCACGGAAGCCTTCTGGGAGGCTGACACGAAGTTCCTCCTCCATCAATAGCTTGCTTCGCGGGCCCTCGGGTCATTTGAGCCTGCAGTCGTCCTGGATCCATGACTTCCTCCTGGGGCCCTGAGGCCCCTGTTCTGCCTCTTACCTCCATCGCCATGTCACGCATTTCATTAAACAAGCACTAGCACTAGCAAATGGGGTCAAACCAGCCTTGCTAAGAGTTTTGGGAAAAAAATCATTAGATCATGGAATTCTTTTCTCTCTCGAGCATTTTCCTGCTTGTCTGGGGTTCCCCAGCCCCCATCTTCTTGCCCTGGCACCTCCACTTTCTATTTGTATTCTTCTCTCCCGGCTTGGAGAGAACCACAGCCTGTCTGCAGCCAACCTACTCCAGGACACAGGAGAGGCAAATACAGCAGGACCAGATGGACTGAGAACTGTAGGGGTGCGGGGCTTGGGAGAGAACCCTGCCCACCCTCCTCCGTTGGGGGTGAGCACAGGCCAGAAGGATCCAAATCTTGCCTTAGGGCCTGCAGCTAGTGCGAGGCTGATGCAGACTGCAGCTCCCGCCTGCGCGGAGGCCCAGTGAGACACACTCTTCCCTGCACGCCACTGGCCTCCAGGCGGAAGCAATGCCTTTCTGCCCTAGGTCGGCTGCCGGATTTCAGGCTGAGATGTTTCTTTTAAGCTTCAGGCTTCATTTTACAACTTTAATGGGCATGCTGGAGAGCCCCAGCCAGGGCTGCTCCAGCGAGGGCTAGAGAGGCCAAGCCTAACCTTTATGCACGGCTCTGTGTGCCAGGAACCCTGCTGCGCCCTTCACATGCTCGGACAGGGCCGGAGCATAGGCGCCTGGGCCCTGAGTGGAGGGCATTAGGCTGTCCATGGCCCAGCCCAGGCAGGGAGGCTTTATCCAGCCCTATCGATTTTGTGCCAAAACAATCAGTTCAGGCTCTAGGTAGCGAAGCATTTTCAAATTGTTCTCAATTTGTAAACTAATTGATAGATTAGTCAGTGTCACCTCTGCTTTCCCTTCCGTGTTATGAGCAGGAGACTCTCTGGGGAGTTAATTAATTCAGAGACCCAGCCCTGGCCGGGCCCAGAGACTCTTCTTAGACATGGATGTCGGCTCCAGAACAAGCAGAGAGGGTGTCGGGATTGGGAAGGGCAGGCACAGTACCTCCATCCGCAGCCTGGACGACGGTGCCTCCTTCTGCCCTGAGGTCCAGCCTTGGTTCGTCCCTTTGAGCAAGCTCTAAGCTGGGATCTGTGTTTTCTCTGCTTCCTTCCAAAGAACCCTTCTGTGCTGTCACTCACCCCCATCCGAGGGCCAGAGTCGGGAGGCACCATGGTGACCATCACCGGCCACTACCTCGGAGCCGGGAGCAGCGTGGCAGTATACCTGGGCAACCAGACCTGCGAGTTCTATGGGTAAGCTGCACTTGAAGGTGGCCTAGCGGGCTGGACCTCAGGGGCACCTGCCTGTTCGTGCCCAGGCCAGCTCCCTCACCGCTGCATGAATTGGTGCTTCCCTGGCCCAGACCCTCTTCCAGCTGTTGTAATAAGTACAAAGCACTTCTTAGCTCGTTCCCGTGTATCAGAGGGGCTGCAGACCTCTAAACTAACTGGAAGCGTGGGCCATGAGGACACCAGATGAAGAGGGCTCCCAGGCGCTGTCCAATCCCCTTGATGAGGACTTGAGAAATGTGGAGGTTGCCTGACCTCGGCCCTGCAAGCCTGCAGACTCACACCTAGGGCGTGCCCTGTGCTCGAAAAGGTTGAACACCTGTTTGCCAGTCACACCTGTAGGTCCTGCAGATGTAGAGAATCCTGAGATAATTCTGTAAGAACCCACGGGTGAGAACCCAATCTGCCCAGTGTTATCTACAGGTAGATAATGTCCCGCTTGTTCCATGAACTTCACAGGGACAAGGACTGTGCATCCACTGTATGTGTGTAGCAGGTACTCAGTGAATGTTTGTTGACTGTCAGCAGAGGTTCAACACTCAGATTCTGGAAGAATCCAGGAGGAAGGAATTCGCCCACGGTCCATGGAGTCCTGTCCCGGTCTCACAAGCTCTAGCTCATCCTGCACTTTGCCCCCTGCCAATCCGAATCGAGCTGGGTCTCAGGTGGAGAGGGGGTGGGGGTGGGGCACGTACTGCAGCGTGGAGTGTGAAGCAGAGCAGAACCCCCACAGGCGGTCCCTTCAGGCCAAGGGCAGCCCCTTCTCAGGCCGGCTGACACCCCCTGTTGCCTCCGCCTTTCTTCTCAGTGCCCCTGCTGTCTCCCCCACAGGAGGTCCATGAATGAGATTGTGTGTGTCTCACCCCCGTCGTCCAACGGCCTGGGTCCCGTTCCTGTGTCTGTGAGTGTCGACCGGGCCCGCGTGGATAACAATCTGCAGTTCGAGTACATAGATGACCCCCGGGTCCAGCGCATTGAGCCCGAGTGGAGCATTGCCAGGTGAGGCAGATGCACCTGGCCGCCACCTGCTGCAGCTGCAGCCCACGGGCGGCTCCTGAGAAAGTGGCCGGTGGGTGAGGCTCACAACACCAGGTTGGAGGGGCTGTCCACCTAACTCGACCTCTGTTTGCTCCCAGTGGCCACACACCCCTGACCATCACAGGCTTTAACCTCGATGTCATCCAGGAGCCGCGGATCCGGGTCAAGTTTAATGGCAAGGAATCTGTCAACGTGAGTAGCAGTCGGTCCACCCCAGCACTCTGGTGAGCTCTGGGTTAGACACTGGAGCACCTGGGAACTGCAGGGGGACAAGACTGAGCCCAGGATGGTGGCCCTGAATTGCTTGAGCCCGACGATGATTTATTTTTCTAATTATAGCCTCCCTTCTTGTCAGGAGGTGATGTGTGTCAGAGTGCTGAGCCTGTGACAGCACACAAGGGCTCTCGCTTCTGGCAGGTTCGCTTGGAGGTCCGATGGGAAGCAGTGTTAGAGGGGCGGTCATTTGGCACAGGGGTTCAGAAATGACTTAGGAGACCCACATCCCATATCACAGTGCTTGTGTCCAAGTCCCAGCTCCACTCCTGCTTCCAGCAGGTGATGGCTCGAACAGGTGAGTCCCTGCCACCTGCGAGGGGGATCTAGATGGGGTTCCTCGTGTCAGCTGTAGCCTCACCTAGCCCTGGCCGTTGCAGGCATTTGAGGAGTGAAACAGGCTACAGGAGATCTCTACCCATCTCTGTCTCTCTGCCTGTCTTTCGCACAAATTAAATAAATAATACTACAATGAAGATCTAAAATGCCGTCTATTTTTATAAAAAGAAGTAGCAGCATACGAGGAAGATGAGCGCGTTCTGGCTGCAGATTCAGACGTCTCTGCGCTGGAAGCAGGACCGCGCCGTCTGTTAGCTGGGCAGGTGTCGCCAAGTCTTTCAACGCCTCCGCGGAGCTGCGAGTGCTGGGAGTCAGCCTTGCCTCACCCACAGCACTGCAGCCTGTGATTGGCACCTGCCGAGTCTCAGTCACCAGGCGGCTCATTCCACCCCCTCACTGAGACAATCAGGGGCAACCCTTCACTTTCCTGCTCCGTGCAAAGCCATCAGATTTCCTCCGCTATGGGTTTTTGTGCTTTTTGAAGAAGTTCTCTAGATCCTAATAGCAGAACCTCCAGTAATGTTACACATTTTTAAGCTTGTTCTCATGTCTCCATCTCACTCTTTTCAGCCAACATTTTCTGAAACATTATTGTCTTCATAATCACAGTCCAGAAGATGCTATTATGGCCATTCTTTTTTAAGTGAATTACTATTAGTACTGCTGTGACCTTCAAGGTGCTGGCTGGGTTAGGATGGAGATGAGGAAGTGGTGTTGTGTCTCCCCTCTAATCCCTGACATGTTTCCAGGCTTGAGGCTTCCTTAAGAAACCCAGAGGTCACAAAATGCCAGAGTGTATGCGGCTTGCCTTTGGGATCATCGGGTCCTCCGCCCTCCCCGTGTAGCCAGAGGGATCAGTGGCTGGCTCCCATCAGCAAGGTGACTGGTGTCTGGGCCAGGCCCAGTGCCAGACATCTGAACTCTTCATTAGCAGACCAGATGAGATGCCGGCAGAGACCCCGGGGCTCCTATGTCTCCCCTTCAGTACCCACCGTGGGCACAATGCTTTGAGCTACACGAGCACCTGCCTCCTTCTCCCAGAAGCAGCGCTTGGTCCCTGGGTGAGAGCCTGTGCCCCCTCTCCACTTCCCCTGGGAGCTCACAGATTCCAGCAAATGCCCAAGAGGGTGAGCTGCTGGACTGGGAAGAGTGAGCTTACAGCCAGGAAGGATTAAACAACAAACAACAACAACAAGCAAATTAAGGACAAGTTTGGACATCTAGGTTTATTTAATGAGAGCTCAGGTTTGGCAGGGCCTGAGCATGGTTTGTGACATTCACAGACCCAATCTCATAGGAAGGAGGCACAACACCATACCATGGGGATCAGGAGGGGCAGAGGGAGAAGTGTGGTCTCCACAGGGAGCAGGACACAGGCAGGGCCAGCAGGTTTGAGTAATTTGGGTGGGCGCTGGGACATCAGAGCTGTCCCCGGCTATCTGGTCCTGGGTTGATTCAGCCTAGCCTGTGGCTAGGGAGCTAGAGTGTGAAAGGAGGTGGTTTGGGGGTGGGGTGTAGTTTGGCTGGTTTGCTGTAGACTCACAGGGCACTGTGCAGCTCTGGGGGGCAGCCCCTCCCAGTCAGCAAGGCCCCAGTAGCAAGGCATTGGAATAGAGAAAACACAAGACATCTGGAGTGCAGAGGGGAGAGTGCTGGAGAGGGCGTTTGTGACTGCACCCAGGGCTGCAGCCTTTGTCCTCCGGGAGCCACCTGCGCTGGGAAGGCCTCCTCCATACTGGAGTTCAAAGCGGCGCAGGCCCCAGGCACCTCCCCCGTCGTGAGGACTCACTTGTAGCCCCCGGCACAATCTCCCCAGCACCTACCCCAGCCGCAGGCACCGGAACCACAAGGTTTCAGGGGACAAAGTCACAGTTCTGCCTGGTGGAGAGCCAGGGTCCTCGGCTCCCTGCTGACCTCCCTGGAGCAAAGGCAGGTGGGAATGCCACAGCCATCAGCCAGAAGGCTCTTACCCTCTGCCCTGCACCAGCCTTCGGGAGGGATAGAGGGAACGGCTGTGCCCCTAGAGCCCTGCTCACCTGCCAGGCTCCTGCTCAGCCCACCTGGGGCTGCCCCTCCCACTAGGTTTCCAGGCTGCCTCCAAGGATAGCAGAGGGTAGTGGAGGGCCAGAAAGAAGCCAGAAAACCCAAAGGAATGTTTGGCAAAGAAAGTGCGGATGCAGCCTGGGCAGGAAGCAGACAGAGGCCTGTTGTTTGGGAGTGATTTGCTTATTCACAGAGGCGCCCAGTCTAGGGAAAGTGACCGAGCAGGGAGGGTAATGGGGGCGGGGAGAGACGCTCACTGTGGGCCTGGGATTGCACCCCTGCCTCTTACCCACCTGCCTGTAGGCCCCCCTTACTGGCCCTGGGCCTCAGTGTCCCCACTTGCAACGAGAAAGAGGTGTTAGGTTCCTAAGGGGCTACTGCACCACAATGAACAGCAGGCAAGCCCTTCGCTTTAATTTTTTTAAAAAAGCTTTATTTATTTATTTGAAAGGCAGAGTTACAGAGAGGGGCGGGGGTGAGAGGGACAGAGAGAAAGGGATCTTCCATCTGCTGGTTCACTCCTCAAATGGCCACAACAGCCAGGACTGTGCCAGGCCAAAGCCAGGAGCCAGGAGCTTCATCTGGGTCTCCTACGTGGGTGCAGGGGCCCAAGGACTTGTGCTATCGCTCTCTCAGGCCATTAGCAGGCAGCTGGATCGGACATGGAGCAGCCAGGGTACAAAAAGTGCATATATGGGATGCCAGCATCGCAGGCCGCAGCTTTACCCACTACGCCACAATGCCAGTCCCTTGGTTTAGATTCTTAAAACCCTCACCACCACCACCACCGGGCTCTGCAAAGGGAGAATTGAGTTTTGGACTCGAAGCTCTGACGTAATCCCTAGACATAATCTCTCTGCAAGTGTCAGCTGCTTTGCAATTTCACACGCAGTCTGTGTTCTGAGCATGAAGCCCGAGTGGTGTGTGTGTTGGCCAGACACACGCGTGCGGCTCTGCCAGAACAGCGTGTACTCGAGCAGCCCGAGTCCTAGGAGATGCCCTTGGCTCCCGGGGCTGAGGCTGAGCTGTGCCGGGCAGGAGCCAGGAGGCGGGGCCCGCTGGGAGTCTGCGTCTTCCTCCCAAGCCTTAAGTGGACCCTTGAGCCGGCTCTTCAGCCTGGCTGCCGCCTGGGACAGCCCCAGAGCTAAACCTCTGGAGGGGATAATGGTGCCACGCAAGTTAGCGGGGGAGGAGGGGCGGCCTGGCCAGGTTGTAGTTGAGTGACTGCTCAGAGCACCGGGATGTCAGGAACTCACACACACTCACACACACACACACACGCACACACACACACACCCCATCTCAGATGCTCCTGTCCTACTTTTGCCCAAACGCCCCATGCTCCCCCACACCCAGCCTTTCCAGTTCCTTCCGCCTGGGACTTGTTCTGCCCTCCCTGTCTTGGCTTAGGTTACTCCTACTCCTTCTTCAGACTCTACATTATTCATTTTGCCCAAGCAAAAGCTTCCCCGCATCCCCCATCCCCGCAACCCGCACCCCCCGCCCCGCCCCACCGTCACTCTGCTCCAAGCCCCACACACTCGTGGCCACCCTCTTGCACACACATTCCAGCCAGCGGCTTTCACAGCCATGCATGCTCGCTTCTCAGTGCCGTGGCCCAGGCACTCGGCAGGCCCCCTCACCATCGTGTCTGCCCCTGGGTGCAGGCTGTGGCTCTCACCTTACAGCCCCAGCCCTTAGCATAGTGCCTGGCTCACACGGAGGGCCTCACACGGTGCTGGTGGAATGAATGTCAAGGCATCTCCCTTTACACTGTCCTTTCAAATAACACCAAGTCAGTGACCCAGCGACAAAAGTATCAGAGGGTGGCCGCGGGCAGTGGGGGCACAGCCTCGGCTCGCCAGACGCTTGATGCCTGGGTGCTGCTCTGTGCGCTCTTAGGTGTGTAAGGTCGTGAACACAACCACCCTCACCTGCCTGGCGCCCTCTCTGACCACCGACTACCGGCCCGGCCTGGACACTGTGGAGCGGCCGGACGAGTTTGGATTCGTCTTTAACAACGTCCAGTCCCTGCTCATTTACAACGACACCAAGTTCATCTACTACCCCAACCCGACCTTCGAACTGCTCAGCCCTACTGGCGTCCTGGACCAAAAGCCGGGCTCGCCCATCATCCTGAAGGTAGGCGTGTGTGCAGGGTGGGTGCCGGCCAGGGGCAGTGGGGGCTCCTGGTGCCCGCCTCTCTCTGCTCCTCCTTGCTGTGCTTGTGGGCTCGCAAAGCCGCCATCATCCTATAGGTGGCGCTCGTTTGCAGATAGGGACTCATCCAGCCCTGTGTTCTGCATTTGGGATTCTTAGGAAAAGTACTTCTGAGTGTTGCTGTTTGTTCTAGTGGGCTTTGGGATCCAGGGTTCCACTGTGTCAGGTACAACTGTTTCTACCTACTGCTTGCATCTGTGGCCACAGAAACCTGCCCCGTGTGTGCAGCAGCCACAGAGCCCTGGCACAACCCATCCCAGTGTCCTCTCGCCCTGCTGCTGTCCTCACACCCCACATCCCTTGCTTGCCATTTTGTCTCCCCTGCCTCTTTCCCACTCTCCTCGTCACTTTCTTTCTCCCTCCAACCCCGCCACCGTGGTCCCCTCTTTCTCTGTAAACCATGGCTGTGTAGAAGTCCCCTCCGAAGGAAACCTGCCAGGGCGTGCCTGTCGGTGTGTGCCCTGCAGCCCTTCCCCGGCCCCTCGGTCTCTTGGCAAGCAGGCAGTTACCCTTGGGAGACGGGTGCCAATGCTTCCGCTTGAGACTGATGCTCTCTGCAGGGCAAGAACCTGTGCCCTCCTGCCGCGGGCGGGGCCAAGCTCAACTACACGGTGCTGATCGGAGAGACCCCTTGCGCAGTCACGGTGTCCGAGACACAGCTCCTCTGCGAGCCTCCCAACCTCACCGGGCAGCACAAGGTCATGGTGAGTGAGCCCCTCTCCCACCTGTTACCCCACCCCTTTGTCCTCCTCACTGCGCACGCCCAGTCTACCGCAGCCGGGCTCTCCTCACCTCCACATCCTGCATTAAAAATGGGCAGAAGCTGAGCGCCTAGGGGAAGGAGAGCAGACGCCAGGGCGGGAAGCCGCGTCGTCTGCAGACCTGCCCTGCGTGGCTGTGGTCTGTCCCGTCCTTCCTCCCCCCTGTGCGGGGTTGGTGGCACGCCCAGGCTGCGCACCTGTGTGCATCTGCGTGCGTCTGTGTGTGTACAATGCACAGGTTCACGTGGGCGGGATGGTGTTCTCGCCGGGCTCGGTGAGTGTCGTCTCAGACAGCTTGCTGACCCTGCCAGCCATCGTCAGCATCGCGGCCGGCGGCAGCCTCCTCCTCTTCATCGTCATCATTGTGCTCATCGCCTACAAGCGCAAGTCGCGCGAGAACGACCTCACGCTCAAGCGGCTGCAGATGCAGATGGACAACCTGGAGTCCCGCGTGGCCCTGGAGTGCAAGGAAGGTAAGTTGAGGCGCCTGGGCCTTGTTGCCCTCTTCCCCTGCTGAGCCGCTGCCTTCCACTTGGACTTTTGTTTCTCTAGAAACTTCCTTTGCCCCTAGGGCCAGGAGTCCCCTGCAGAATGCCCACCGTGTAAGAACCAAGGACCCCTCTGCTGTGTTAGGTCCCTCTGCCCTGACTCAACCCTGTTAGTAACAGCCCAGGCTGGGCCGGGAACTCCATCTGGGTCTCCCACATGAGTGACAGGGGCTCAAGTCCTTGGGCCATCTCCTGCTGACTTCCTAGGCCCGTTGCCAGGGCGTTGGGTCCAAAGTGGTGCTCTGATGTGAGATGCAGGTGGCGGGTCAGCCTGCTGTGTCGCAATGCCAGCCCCTCAACCCCCAACCTGGCCGAGTCCCTCCGTCTGTCTCAGGGTCTCCCAGGCCCACAGTGTCTCAGGCTGCAGACTCCCCCGATGGGGGCATGGGGCCCCTGCCTCTTGCGTGGTGGTCCCAGCAGCATGTGGGGCTGGCAGCAGGAGAGGCAGGGGAGCTCTGACGTGCCTCCACGCCCACTGCCTCGCCTTTGCTTTCTGTCAGAGCCACTGGCTGAGTGCTAGCTGGCGTCCTTGGCCCTGGCCGTGTGTGGGATGGAAATTGTGTTTTTTCCCATCGCCCACACAACCACAGCCATGAGGTGACGAGGTACCTGGTGTACAGGGATGAGGACTCTCTGGGTAAACATCTCAATCAGGCATCAAAACATTTCTCCTTTTGCTGCAAACATCGGAAGCAGGCCATGTGCTGCATGAGGTGGGAAGCTGGGCTGGGCGCGTGGGCAGAGGCTCCCCCATGGGGCCACAGCTGGCGAGTTTGGGAGGGGCGGGCACGGGAAGCCAGGCCCAGCTCCCAGGGGAGGGAAGCCTGCAGAGCCCTGTGTCACCCAGCCTCGCTCGCCTGCCGGACCCTGGTTGGAGGACCAGGGCACCTGAGGTCTTTGCATCTGATCTCTCCCTTGCTTGGGGAGCGGCAGCCATGGGCCACTCTGGTTCTTGCTCGACTGCTCAGCCACAGCTGCCAGCTGCTTCCAGGACCTGCAGGGCCTTTACTGAATGGCTCGTCATGTTACTGTGCCTTTTTCTCCTATCTATGTAGAAAGTAAAATTAGATAAAACATAGAGGAGAAAAGGATAGAAAAGCCACCCATCTTTCCACCACCTAAAAAACAGCAGCCTAGGATTCTGGCCCCACCCCACCCCCAAAACACCCCTCTAGCCACCCCGTCCACCACCCCGTCTCTGCATCACAGACCCTAAACCTCTCCACTTCCCCAGCTCCTCCCCAGCTGGGCTGCCCTGAACCTCCCTGTCCCTACTTACAGCTTTTGCTGAGCTCCAGACAGACATTAATGAGCTGACCAGCGACCTGGACCGCTCAGGGATCCCCTACCTGGACTACCGCACCTACGCCATGCGCGTCCTATTCCCCGGCATCGAGGACCACCCCGTGCTGCGGGAGCTGGAGGTAAGGACCGCCTCCCCCGCCCTGCCCCCCAGGGGTTCCCGAGAGGGCCCGAGCAACAGCAGGGGTGCTGGCGGGGAGGTGGGCCGGGGCTTGATGCAGCAAAGCCACCGTGGAGGAGGTCGGCTGAGGGGGCACCTGGGCTCTTTGGGGTGATTCCAAGACAAGACTCGTTGTTTGTCATTGTTTAATTAATGACTGAATTAATTAACTAAGATCCTGCCTCATTCTGAAATGGATTTCAGGTGGCTTAGAGAAAGGCATGGGATTCCGCGAGGCTTGTTAGTTTGTGTTACTAAAGACGCTGAATTGGGGCCAGGGAGATTGGGGCGACTACTATACAGGAGTCCGATGGGTCTCTGTGTGTGTCCCTGGCGTCTCCTCCCCACTCCCAGATGGAGTGGGCCTCCTGGAGAGGGTCCCACAGCAGGGGCCGTCTGTGAGAGTCTGGGGTGGGTGGGGAGGCCACCAACGCCGGCTCTGAGGGAGCCCCGCCCACCGCAGGTGCAGGGGAACGGGCAGCAGCACGTGGAGAAGGCCCTGAAGCTCTTCGCGCAGCTCATCAACAACAAGGTCTTCCTGCTCACCTTCATCCGCACGCTGGAGCTCCAGCGCAGCTTCTCCATGCGCGACCGCGGCAACGTGGCCTCGCTCATCATGACCGGCCTGCAGGGCCGCCTGGAGTACGCCACCGACGTGCTCAAGCAGCTGCTCTCCGACCTCATCGACAAGAACCTGGAGAACAAGAACCACCCCAAGCTGCTGCTGCGCAGGTCTGCCCTGGACCGAGCGCGGCAATGGGGGGGCATCCCCCAGGGCCCAGGGCTGGCCACGCCCTCCTGTCTCCCCAGGGTGGGGCCTGACCTCCCCCAGCCCTGGCAGTGTCTGAGCCGGGCAAGTGTGATGGAGGACCACTGGCCTGGGCTTGCCCCTCAGCCGGAACCGCAGCTTGGCCACCTGCTTGCTCTGTGTCTCCGGCCAGTGGTGCAGACTAGCCACGTACAGTAGCCACGTACACAGTAGCCACGTGTAGCTGTCAATTAAAATGAAATACAATGGCAGCCTCAGTTCCCCCATCACACTGACCACACACCTGTGGCTGGCATCCACCACATGGGACTGCACAGAGAACGTTCCCACTCTTCCAGAAGATTCTGCCCCTTAGCACTGTAGAGATGTGGTGCTGCCTACCCAGCTTCTACTGCACACCGTGTTTCCCCACAGGGGAGAGAGCTGGAGCCCTTGGCATCTGCTCCGCCCACCCGCCCCACAGCTCTAGGGTCCTCTGGGCAGCAGGGGTCGGGATGCTGCACCCGGATCTGCTCCTCTGTAGCCTTCTGCAGGCCAGGTCTCTGGCTCCCGCGCCCCAGGTCCCAGGCGGGTGAGGAGGGAGGAGGAGCGGTTTTGTTTTATGAGAGCCAATGGGAGCATTAGAAACTCTCATTAAGAACTGTTGTATTTAAATTAGAGCTAATCTCAGGCACAATGCAGGGAGAGGGTGCTGGGAGGGGCCGGGCAAGAAAGCTGCAATTTTCTGCCATTGTCACTCTCTCCCAGGCCCAGGCCTCTGAGGGGCCCTGGCAAATGCCTGGGATTGACTGCACAAGGAGGGTGTAATTTGCACCACGTGCAGGGAGTTAAAATGCCCCCTGGGAGTCCCACACACACCCCCGCGGAGGGAAGGCAGCGGGGCGCCCTTCTTTCTTCTCCAGCCTGGGTTGGGGGAGGTGGCTCTCGACCAAAAGTCCCCAGGCCAACAATGACAGCAACTAATATTCACATCATGCTGGGCATGGGTAGGGGGCAGGCACCAGGCACCGTTCTCAGCACTTTTCCTATATTAACCCATTGAACCTGAGGACGACCATGTGGGGTAGGCAGTGTTACTACTGTCCCCATTTAGGGATGGAGACACTGAGCCCAGAGAGGTTACGTGAGTTGCCCAAGGTCATCAGCCAGTACCTGGTAGAGACAAGATTTGAACTCAAGGCAGCCTGATTCTGAATTCATGGAGGGGCAGCTCCCAGGAGCCTTCCAGATATGCAAGCCAGAGTGCTAGGGCAGGTGGAGAGTCCCGGAGGGACAGGAAAACAGCAATTCATTACCCTGAGACAGAGAGGGTGGGGAGACTGCCACGTGGGATGGGTATCTGGGCCGGGCTCAGGCACAGCCAAAGTTGGCAGGGCAGCAGGAACAAGGGGCCAACCGCTCCATCTGCGTGGAAACTGAGGCCCAGAGGGAGCCACCCAGCCAAGGTCATGCTTCTAGTTGCTGGTGGAGTCAGCCCAGGACCCTGGGTTCTTTCACTGGCTGTGGGTCCCCTGGGCCACAGCCCACACAAGCCCAGGCCCACCCGCGAGACCCCTCCATAACGCCCAGTGCCTCCTCCTCCTCCCTCTCCCAGGACGGAGTCTGTGGCTGAGAAGATGCTGACCAACTGGTTTGCCTTCCTCCTGCACAAGTTCCTAAAGGTGAGAAGGGGGAGACAGGCCGGGCTTCAGAGCAAGAGGCAGGGGCTGCTGCTCTGAGACCTGTCCATCAGGCTGTGGGACCCGCCCTCTCTGAGACCTGTCCATCAGGCTGTGGGACCCGCCCTCTCTGAGACCTGTCCATCAGGCTGTGGGACCCGCCCTCTCTGAGACCTGTCCATCAGGCTGTGGGGACCCGCCCTCTCTGAGACCCTGTCCATCAGGCTGTGGGACCCGCCCTCTCTGAGACCTGTCCATCAGGCTGTGGGGACCCCGCCCTCTCTGAGACCCTGTCCATCAGGCTGTGGGGACCCCGCCCTCTCTGAGACCCTGTCCATCAGGCTGTGGGGACCCCGCCCTCTCTGAGACCTGTCCATCAGGCTGTGGGGACCCGCCCTCTCTGAGACCTGTCCATCAGGGCTGTGGGGACCCGCCCTCTCTGAGACCTGTCCATCAGGGCTGTGGGGACCCGCCCTCTCTGAGACCTGTCCATCAGGGCTGTGGGGACCCCGCCCTCTCTGAGACCCTGTCCATCAGGGCTGTACCCTGTCCATTGGGGCTGTAGGGACCCCGCCCTCTCTGAGACCCTGTCCATCAGGGCTGTGGGGACCCCACCCTCTCTGAGACCCTGTCCATCAGGGCTGTGGGGACCCCGCCCTCTCGGAGACCCTGTCCATCAGGACTGTGGGGACCCCGCCCTCTGAGACCTGTCCATCAGGCTGTTGGGACCCCGCCCTCTCTGAGACCCTGTCCATCGGGGCTGTGTGGGGACCGCATCCCACTCTCCTGCCTACCTGGACTCCAAGGGGCAGAGGCCGTAAGGGCAGGGCAGCCCCGGGAGGCCGTGCCTTCAGCGCCCCATCCATGCCCGCAGGAGTGTGCCGGGGAGCCGCTCTTCATGCTGTACTGCGCCATCAAGCAGCAGATGGAGAAGGGGCCCATCGACGCCATCACGGGCGAGGCGCGCTACTCCCTGAGCGAGGACAAGCTCATCCGGCAGCAGATCGACTACAAGACCCTGGTGAGGGGGCTGGAGCTCAGGGCGCTCACCCTCCTGACCACAGAGGCTGCCCAAGGGACCGATGCGAGGGCAGACCAAACCCAAAGGCCATGCTGGGTGGGCTCTGTGCCTCAGTTTACCTAGATACTGTTGGGGGAGAAGAGTGGTCACCCCCCGTTAGGGACAGGGTGACCAGCATTAAGGGAAATGTGGGACTGCACTGACTCATGGCTGAAGCTCCGGGGAGGAGGGAGGCAGCCCTGATATATCTGGAACCATCTTGAACCCCAGTGGGTGCCTCAGCCTGGGGCTACAGTCTCCTGGATGCCATCCAGGGACTAGAAAGGAGAGGCCTGGTTCTCTGAGAAAGAAGAGGTGGGCACGATGACTCGGGCTGCTGTCTGACAGATGGCAGGAAGGAGAGAGACACTGAGGCCCAGAAAGACCAGAGGGGTGCCCCTGTCTCCCCTAAGGAGGGCGGACCCAGGGCAACAGCAGAATCGGAGGCTTGACCCCTCTGCCCCGCCCCCCCAAGCGCCCCATGCTCTGTGGCCCCGCTCACCCTCTGCACCCGCTGGCAGATCCTGAACTGCGTGAACCCTGACAACGAGAACAGCCCGGAGATCCCCGTGAAGGTGCTGAACTGCGACACCATCACGCAGGTCAAGGAGAAGATCCTGGACGCCGTGTATAAGAACGTGCCCTACTCTCAGCGGCCCAGGGCTGTGGACATGGACTTGGGTAGGAAGCCTGGCCTTGGCGGCTGAGGGCAAGGGTGGACAGGGCTTCCTGGAGAACACTCAGGCCGTGGGAGGTGGCCCTGCACACAGCCCCTCCTGGGAGCCTGCCTAGGTCCTGGCCAGGTGAGGGCACATGAAATCCTCCTCCCTCCCTCTGGGCACTGCCTGCTCAGGTGTGGCTGTCCCTGGGGAGGCCCCTCGCCCTCCTTCTCTGCCCTCTCCACCCACTGCCTTGACCCCAGGGGGCCTTCATGTCTCCAAGTTTATCAGTGCAGCCACTCAGGGGAGCCAGGTTGCAGGTCCCTAGAGAGGCAGGGCTGGGAGGCCCTGGGTCACAGCCCCTACCCATCTCACGGTGCTGCCTGCACCTCCCCCTCCCCCCAGAGTGGCGCCAAGGCCGGATCGCAAGGGTGGTGCTGCAAGATGAGGACATCACCACCAAGATCGAGGGCGACTGGAAGCGGCTCAACACGCTGATGCACTACCAGGTGAGGGTCTGGCTGCCCTTGAGGGCAGGGGCTTCATGCTAGGGACCCTGGACTTCCCAGAGTGTTCCCTTGCCTCCAAGCCTTGCTTTAAGAAGCCCAGGAGTCGTTTTCTTCTCTTTCCTGCCCGTCCTTGATCCTAGAGCAGTGACCCATCAGAATCCCTGGGGGCCCTTGGACAATTGTTGTATCCCAACTCCACCCCCCCCCCAAAGAGATACAGGTGCTGTGGGCTAAGACCTAGGCATTCCCACCTGGTGTGAACATGTCTACCTCTGCAGGAAAAGCTACTGTGGGGTGCCTGGCACGGTCCCCGTGGGGCGTTGCACTAATGCAGCCTACCCAGCTGACCTGCAGCACAGCAGGGAACGGGCTAGCCATGTCTCAGGTCTAAGCTTCTCCCACTGACTACCGGGTATCCTTGGGAAAAACACACGGGCTGTAGGCTGTCTTTCTTCTCACCTGCAAAATGGGGCTCGTGGTGCTCGCTGCTCCCTGCAGGTGTGTGGAAGAGATTAACTGCAGTAGGCAAAGGGATTAGCACCTGGGCAGACACTGAACGAGCAGGCAAAATACTCCCAGGCAAGGAACATGAGATCCGGGAGGCAACCATTGCCACCTCTGCCTCCCTCCCGTGGACACCGCTCCCAGCTGGGGGTCTCTGGAAGATTAAGCACAGGTAGACAGGTTGAGATTCAGGAAAAATACTAAAATAGAAACTGGAAATGAGAGACACCGAGGGAAATTAAACCAACCAGAGGAAGCGCCTCAGGCTGCGAGGCCCATGGGATGGTCTGATTAGTAATCTCCTCCTCCGTCCCTGCCTCACGCAGGGAGGCGAGCGGAGGGGCTGGCAGGTGTACAGAGGGCCCAGCAGGCTGCACTCACAAGCACGCTGCCGACAACCAGACCAGGCCACTGGTGCTCAAGGGAAGCTAGAGGCGCCGGGGACTCTCCACCATGCTCCTCTCCAAGCCCCGTCCCCCTCACTGGCCCGCCTCTCTCCCGGCTGATACCCTGCCTGGCCCGCTGGCCCGGATGGAGTGGGGTGTTGTAATGGGAGCAGAAAAGGCTTTGGGAGCTGTATTTGAACCCGTGCTTCCCATCACTGGGGTGACTTAAATCTGTGGACCTCAGACCCCTCATCAGGAAAATGGAGACAGCCTAGCTCGCCTGACTCCGTGAGGGCGGCTGGAAGGGTTAGGAAGGACCGAGGTGTCCAGGATGTGTGTCTGCACGCAAGGGGTTACAATAATCACTTCCTGTTAATGCCATACACACAGCCCATCCCCCTTCACCTGGTGCGTAATTCATCCAGCAGAACCATTGTAATGAACCACTTAGAGCTGAATGAGCAAGTGCAAAAGAGAACAGCCCGGGCCGCCCAGATCCCGCACAGCTCCTGCTGCCTCCAGCGCCCCAGCGCGGGTCCCTGGGCTGTCCATCCAGGGCCTCCCAATCAGAGAGCGGCGTACTCTCTCCTACGCTGCTCATCATATTCATACAAAGCGCTTTCAACTCCCTGATGTCATTCATCATTCATGTATTCATTCATTCCTCAAATATTTACTGAGCTGTGCCGAACGCCAGGCACTTCCCACAACGCCAGCCCTGAGTGACAGGGGACAGTACACGGCATTCCTCCCGTGGGGAGACAGTGAGGAGCTGGGAGACGCTCACAGCCCCAGCTCCATCACCAGCCTCATGGAGGGCCCACCTCGGCCTGCGTTGTCCTAACTCCTTTAATCCTCACAACAGACCCAGAGCCAGTTACTGTCTCCACGGACAGATGAGACCACTGAGGCACGGAGCTGGGAAGTGGCCGCGCCAAGGCCAGACCCGGCCAGGCATCTGAAGCTCAGACTTGCTTAGTGACATGACCTGGAGCTGAGTAGAACGGCGGCCATTTGAGCCACTTTGCCACTCTCCCTTTGGAGGACGAGAAACCAGACATGGTAGCAGACCCAGTTGTCCCTGGCAGTGGAAGCCTCTGGCCCTGCCAGGATCATTTCTGGGCTGCTCAGTATAAGGAGAATTCCTGAAAGTCAGGCATGGAGAGTTTCCCCCTCCCTCCCAAACCTGGTGCTGATGGTGCCAACTGCTGACCAGAGCGAGGGCTGCCCGGCCTGGGAAGGACCGCAGCCCACGGCACTTGCAGCACAGGACCCTAGAGCCCTAGGTCGTCAGGTCGGAGTGCTGCCCTCTCGTTCCCCTCCCCAGAGTCAAAGGTTCTTGGAGCCCCTACAGGAGAAAATCCGCATAATCTTAATTAACAAAGCGATCTTCAAAAACTTCCCTGGCTCCTGCAGATTTATGGGGAGGGTAAAATTAAACACCACCACTAAAACCAGCTATCAGGGAATCTCGTTAGCACTAATGTTCATTTATAGTTTGACTTCCCAACATTTAATTCTTTTTTGGTGGGAGAGAGGGACTGACAATTTAAGACCCAGAAAGATGGTTTTATGACTGGTGCAGCTATAAATCAAACTTATAAAGTTCATAAAAATTGTTAAAATAAAAAATGGTTTAATAGGAATGGTTTATGGCCCATAACATTATTATAGCTGTTTTATTCCCTCTGCGTTAGGGATTTAATTGGATCGCCACAATTCTGGGGATTCTCCATTTTTATTGGATGGGGGGCGATCTTAAATCAAAATGGCCCCAAATGTCTTCAATATGGCTCCTCATTTGTCAGCCCTCTCGCTGCAGGCTGGGGGCTAAGGCTGGACACCTGTGCGCCAGGTGGTCGAGACACCTTCCGTCTTCCTCTTTGAGTCCTCAAGGGCAGCTGCCCATTTGGGGGAGCTCTTCAAGGTGGCCCAGGCCTGCTAGGACCCAGGCAAGGAAGAAAGCAGAGCAAAGGGGAAATAGCTTCCAACCGTGTGACTTGACATAAAATCCCCCATTAGGATCCGTAATGAGAAGAGCGTGTTCTCTGGGCTCCGAGAGATGTGGCTACAAATGGGCTCCAGCATGTGCTCAGAAGATGTGGCTCAGCCTCCCTCCACTTCTGTTTCTGCATCTGTAAAATGGGAATAATTAGCCACAGCTCTGAAGGCGTCTGAGGCCACATCCAGCCCAGCTCTGCCCAGTGGGAGTCAGTCACGCAAGTCACGTGTATAGCTTTAAATTTGTCACTAGCCATATTTAAAAAAAAAAAACATAAGCAGGTGAGAGTCGTGTGAACACTTTATTTTATTTAACCCACTTGGTCTAAAACAATTGTCATTTCAATATGCCCTCAGTATAAAGATTATTAATGAGAGAGCTGATACTTTTATTCCTATTAAGTCATTGAAATCCGGGTGTATTGTACAGTTACAGCACATCTCAGTTTAACTGTGCTGCAGGTGCTGAGTGGCCACTAGTGACAAGGACTAGCAGACTCACAGTGTAGCTCTAGCCCCACTTTTATAAAAGCGGTGATGCTTGTTTCTAGTTCTCTTAAATTCCTTGCTGTTTTGCGTTCCATGACCCTCTGGGCATCCTGGACTATTCCGCTTGCCAGGACACCCACATTCATTCCTGATCTTCCTTCCGCACCCTCCTCAGGTGTCCGACAGGTCGGTGGTGGCTCTGGTCCCCAAGCAGACCTCTTCCTACAACATCCCTGCCTCTGCCAGCATCTCCCGGACGTCCATCAGTAGATACGGTGAGGACCGCAGGGCCTGCTCGCCACCCTGCCAGCAGCCGCACGCCCTTGCCGCGGCCTGCCCCAGTCAGAGGCACATGCCCGTTTCTTCCATCGCCCAGCCGTGTCCAGAGGCGCATGTCTCCTCGGAGCTGGGGAGCAGGGGGCACCATCTGTCCTTCCCTTGAGATCCCAGGCCTGGTGAGGGAGTTGGAGGGGCCCGGACCAGGGAGACGCCTGGATGAGGGGCTCCCATCTGCCGTTTGTGCCTGTTGTCCTGGCTGAATTATGAACAGTGCCTCCTTTTCCTCCAAACTGGGTCCCAGCTTGGACAGCGCAGTCAGCCGTCTTCACCCTGGAGCACCCACTGGGCAGTGCGGTCACCACGCCTCCCTCTCTTGCTCTGTTTTGTCTGGGCCGCCCAGCTCAAGGGCACCGCACCACTGAACAGGGCAGCTCCAAGAAGCACCTAGGGAAGGGCTGCATCCCAGGCCCCAAGCATAAACCCAAGGGGGGCGTTCTAGTTCACAGCTCCTCAGAGGCCAGATTTTTCTGTTAAAGCACTTGCAACAGTGTCCAGGTGATGCATCACCTGTTGGCCATTCACTGCTGGAAGCAGTAGACAGGGGGTGTCCCCCACATTCCCTAGAGTCCAGCTCAGAATTGCTAAATCCTGTTCCTGAAAAAGGACTTTGGCTCCTGTATTCAATGCTGACCATGGACCCCTAAAGTAATCCACCAACTATGAGGTTCCAAGGACCCTTCCAGTGGAATCGAGTTGGTTCTGAGTGGATGCAGCAGGCGGGGGGTGGGGGGTGGGGGGGGCTTTCTGGAAGGATCTACCAGCAGGGATGATGGACTCTGTCACTCACAGCCCTGCACCGCCCCCTTCTGCTCAGACTCCTCCTTCAGGTACACAGGCAGTCCCGACAGCCTGCGGTCCCGCGCCCCGATGATCACCCCCGACCTGGAGAGCGGGGTCAAGGTGTGGCACCTGGTGAAGAACCACGACCATGGGGACCAGAAGGAGGGGGACCGGGGCAGCAAGATGGTGTCGGAGATCTACCTGACGCGGCTGCTGGCCACCAAGGTAATTCCTGCTCCGCCCAGGCCCCCCGGGGCTTGCTCCCAGGGGTGCATCCTGCCCTGGGCACAGCGTCATGGAGTCTGCTCTCCACCGACACCCATTGAGATGAGCTAGCGAGCTCTCCGGGGCCTCCGGAGGGTCAGGCCATGTGGTTCTCTGTGGCAAAAACAGCGGCCACACCACTGCTTTCTGCCCGCCCCTCGGGACTCCCACGGCAGTCAGAGGAGTGGCTCTCTGACTTTTTACCCTGGTAAGGTATTGGTTTGTTCTTTGTACTTTCCACTACTTATTTTTTTTTTTTGCTAGTGACAGCTGCATGGATAAGCCAGCCTCTACCATCAGTGCCTTTTCTACCCCGTTCATGGGAGGGAAAGCACAAAAGCCAATCCTGCGGGCTCCCCTGCCCCCACCCATCCCATCGAAGCCAACCATTGCTGGGTGTAGGGCAGCGTCTTCCAACCTCTCCCGCAGCCGACATGGCGGGGCTGTGAGCACAGCGGCCATGCGGCCTGTACTTACCAGGCCGTGCGCAGTGTCAAGTCATGCCCCCATCAGTGACCCCGTAACAGTGCCGCTGAAATGCCAACACAATGGCCCCCAATTCATGACCTTGTTCCCAGAGCAGCCCACGAACAACCTCTGAGACCCGCTCTCCACTTTACCCCTGCCTAATGTACCCAGCAATTAGAGACCAACAAAGAGACAGCAGGGGCCGGGGGGCTGGAGGTTTGGCCAGCCCTCAGCAATGGGCCTGGAGACCACGGTGGGACCTGGGCCCAGTCTTTGCCCTGTCCCAGAAACCCTCCAAGGCCCTCTGGATCGGGGCCACGCCTGGTGCCCTGAAGCTGGGCCCTCTTCCCGCAGGCCACGCTGCGGATACCACTGGCCCCAGGCCACTCTGTCTTAAGTCCCTTCACACCACCCCAGGAGGCACCAGTCCTCCAGCTTGGTCCCCAGACACCCTCTCCTGATCCAGCTGCCCACCCATGCCCTCTTCCCAGCTGAGCCTGGACTCCGGGCACTTCCTGTTTTCTCTGGGGTGGACACAGTCATGAGTGTGTGTGAGGCCAGAGAGGCTCTTCCCAGGGATTCCAGGCCCACTCGGTCTCCTGCCTCCCTGACACCCTGACCACTCCCCTGCCCCACCCTTGCCCCACCCCTGCAAGGCCACACACTGCAGGCCAGTTTCCAAGGTAGGATAGGTGCGAGGCAGCCTCTGGTGTGCAGACTGCTGCCTGCTGGCCCCTGCTCACGCCCCTCCCCCAGCCTCTCCCCAGGGCACCCTGCAGAAGTTCGTGGACGACTTGTTCGAGACCTTGTTCAGTACTGTGCACCGGGGCAGCGCCCTCCCCTTGGCCATCAAGTACATGTTTGACTTCCTGGATGAGCAGGCCGACCGGCATAGCATCCACGACACAGACGTGCGGCACACCTGGAAGAGCAACTGGTAACCCCCAGGGGAGCGCCGTGGGAGGCACAGCCCTCCCCACCCCCGAGAGGCCAAGAGCTATGGGGTGATGGGGGGCGCAGCAGGGCCCCTGGGAGGTCCAGGGCAGCCAGTTGTCTGCCAGGGCTGGGGGGTGCGAGGCTCCCAGAACATGGAGCATACACATGTCCTGGAGAGTCCCCAGGCCACCTGCGTCAAGTCCCGAGCCCGTGTGGCTTGAATCCCATCCTTCCCACTTGTACAGGAGCCCACTGACCTCACGGGTTTCACCGCACACTTGGTCTCTGACGGCCTCACTAGGAACCTGGCATTGCAGCTTTGAGGAGGCAGCAGGCAGAACGCCCCGTAGACAGGGCTCTTCCCAGAGGTCACCTCCTCATGTCCGCCAGCAGCGGGGAAACCACCATCTCCCAGGAGCCCCACACACCCACCCCAGCCTCTCCCCCGCCCCCAGACTTTGAACCTGGACCACAGACCAAGCAGAGAGCTGACTGTCAGGTCAGACAGGGCCGAGCCAAGAGCCACAGTCAAAGGCTTCCTTGGGCAAGGAGCACAGAGGCGGGGTGGGGGGACGTCCAGGCATTCGGGTCGGGCAGGCAGCCCATGCAGCTGTCAGCAGTCAGCAGCCTCCTCCGAAAACAGAGCCGACACAGATGGGCCAAGGCTGTTATTTGGGAATCAGAAGTCTTAGCAACCAACAAAACACCCCGGGAGCAGCCAGCCCCAGGCCCTGCCCCAGCCCCAGCCGCAGCCCCGACTGTTTCTTCCTTCTCCAGGGCGTCGTGGTGCCTGAGCCCTCCCGGGTCTCCGGCTTTGATCCCAGTGCAGTGAAATAGAGAGGCCCTGGTGGCAGTGGGCTGGGGAGCCCACAGTGCACTTGGCTGGGGCATGCTTTGCAGCCACATTCCCGGATGCAGAGCTATGCCTGTCTCCTTTGCTTTGGAGGGAGCCCAGCCAGCCCAGCTCTGGAAGCAGGCGACCTGGGGGAAATCCAAAGTCCTGGGTGACCTCGTCTCTGTGTGCCCTCTGTTGTACTGTCCAGGGATGCACCGCCCTGGGGCTGTGGCGGGGAGAGAGAGCCCCCGCTCAGACCTCAGACGGCAAATGTCCCAGGCAAGATGAACAGGAGGTCCCCGAAGCTTCCAGGGGAAGGGAGGGCCAGAGCACTGGGGGCAGCTCCTCCCAGGCTCCAGGGGAGCCAGTGACCCTCTTGCACTTTGGGGCACAAGCACAAAGTGTGATGCCAAGCTTGGGGTGAGTCAGGCTGACTTTTCCCAAGGCCTGGCACTAACGAGATATTTGGGGAGGTTCAGGATCCAGGAGAGTCAAGAGCAGAGGAAGACGGGGAGGAGAGGGGTGAGCTGGGAACAGCATCTCAGGCTGGAAGGACAAGCCAGAAACAGGGCTCACACCACAGAGGACTCAAAAGAGAGAAAGCAGCTGGAGCAGGCCAGGTGTTGGGAAAGGACGCGAGAACAGCAGCTGTCTGGGTTCTGCAGGGAGTCACGGGAGCAGAGCAGATCCATTCTCCTCTGCTTCGGGATGCCCAGGGTTGCAGAAGGAAGTCTCCTAAGGCCGATGGCTTCCTCTGGGGGTGGGGAAACTCTGAGCAGGCAGTGAATCAGTCCCAGGATGCCAACAATGGCCTCCCCCTCTCCCGCTGCCCGGGCCCAGCTACAGGAACACCCTGGGGAGAGTCATGAAAGAGCATCCCCCCGGGGAGCCTGGGCCAGCCCTGGGAAGTGGCTCGGGCGGCCGGGCTGGGCGGAGAGGGCAGGTGGTGCCCTTTGTGCCCACGCGGAGGCAGTGCCCGGGGCTGCTGGGCTGCGTCCCTGGGGACAATGGCCACGGGCACTGAGAAGGGACTTGGGGCCTGGTGGCTTTGTCTCATGCTCTGAGGAAACTTCCGTCCCCCGTTCCTAAGCTGCCCTGGACGCACAGGGCCTTTGGAAAAGGCTTCAGGGAGGGAAGAGAATCCAGCCACGCCCACCCCTGGATTTTTAGCGAACAGTCAGTGCCCATAAGGGCCCAGCAGTGGCTCTGCTTTTTCCCCCGCGTCAGGAACAGCTTACACTAGACACGTTTCTGCAACACTTGATCCACTTGCCTTTTGGGGAGACAGTTTGACACTCGGGGTGACAGGAGGGGTGCTCGTGGGCAGCATAAGGGGCAGGGCCAAGCTGCCTTCCTGAGTGTGGCCTGCCTGGTCCTGCAGCCTGCCCCTGCGCTTCTGGGTGAACGTGATCAAGAACCCGCAGTTCGTGTTCGACATCCACAAGGGCAGCATCACGGACGCCTGCCTGTCGGTGGTGGCCCAGACCTTCATGGACTCCTGCTCCACATCCGAGCACCGGCTGGGCAAGGACTCACCCTCCAACAAGCTGCTCTATGCCAAGGACATCCCCAGCTACAAGAGCTGGGTCGAGAGGTCAGCAGCACCCCAGGGCACAGGCCCTGTGTCCCTGCCCCACTCCCCGTCCTGTGGGCATCACCGACCGAGGACTCGCATTTGCAGAGCCTGCAGGGGCTCACGTTCCCTCCTTCTCCCTCATCCGAATTCCTGCTGCGCCCCTGCGGTCGGATGATGCCATACTAGTTGCCATCGAGTGAGCACACACTAAGCTCCTAGCACTAGGATAAACAGTGTGTGTGTGTGTGTGTGTGACCTCAACTGAGCTGTGAAGTGGGTATTGCTAATATCCCCATCTTACTGATGAGGGACTGAGACACAGAGAGGCCAAGTAATTCGACCAAGGTCACTCAGAGCTGAGATTTGAATCCCAGGCTGTAGCTGAAGTCTGGGCTTTCAACCACTCTGCTGGTGCAGCCAGGAGCCTCACCTAGGTGGGGTCTTCTAAAAAGCCCTGGCCTTAGGCCTCAGCCCCAGCTTGCTGCAAGAGGCCGTAGCACAGGAGAAACAGGGAGGCGAGAGCAAGTGGGGGCATCAGTGCTCCCGAGGGACCCGGGGCAGGGTGGGTGTAGGCAGGCACTTGCTGAGTGCTCATTGAGGGACCTGTCCTGTCCATGACAGATACTATGCAGACATCACCAAGCTGCCTGCCATCAGTGACCAGGACATGAACGCCTACCTCGCCGAGCAGTCCCGCCTGCACGCCGTGGAGTTCAACATGCTGAGTGCCCTCAATGAGATCTACTCCTATGTCAGCAAGTATAGTGAGGAGGTAAGACAGGGCCCTAGCACAGGTGTTGGGCACAGTGGACTAAGCCACTGCCTGGGACTCCTGCATTCCGATCTGAGTGCCTGGGATCTGGTCCCACCTTTGCTTCCAGTCGTGCATCCTGGGAGACAGTAGATGATGGCACAAGTACTTGGGCCCCTGCCACCTGTGTGAGCGACCTGGATGGAGTTCTGAGCTCTGGTTTTAGCCTGGCCCAGACTTGGCTGTTTTAGGCATTTGGGGAGTAAACCAGTGGATGGGAGATCTCCCTCTCTCCCTCTCTCCCTCTCTCCCTCTCTCCCTCTCTCCCTCTCTCCCTCTCTCCCTCTCTCCCTCTCTCCCTCTCTCCTTCTCTCCCTCTCTCCCTCTCCCTCTCCCTCTCTCTTCCTGCCTTTCAAGTAGATGAGAATAAATAAATAAGCAAACAAACAAGCATTTTTAAAAAGTGCTAGGCCCTAGAAGGGACAGAAACCAACCAGCAGAAATCCAGGTGAACAAACAGGAATCCTGACTCAATCCTTAAATCCTTAAATAAAGAGTAACTGAGAAAATGCATTCAGGCAATTAAAAGCCCAGGAGCTCCAAAACCATTCTCAATGCTTTATCTAAACTCTCCTGATTCACTGAAGGCTTTCTTAGACATGTCTTTGTCTTTGGCTCACTGCTAACACAGTAAATAACACTTTTAATAATGTCGTGTTTCCCAGTTCAGAGTACAGTATGATTCATTCCATCCTTCCTTAAACAATGAAGCTAAGTTTTCTTTGCATTTGGGCAGGGTTGTCATTTCAGACACAGGTGGCCCTCAACAGGCATCAAGGTTGAACAGAACAGCTTCAGAAAGTTCACAGCCATGCGTTAGCACTGAACTTGAAAGACAAAGTAGTGGTAGTAGGAGTAACAGTGACACTCACACAGCACTGGCGCCAGATGTGTCACACACGTCTGGCCCTGGGATAAGACCAAGTATAAATATTTTAGATGGTTCCATACGTACGTATATACAAGGGAGCTTCAAGAGCTTTATGGAAAAGGGGAATTCAAAGGTAATGTTCATTTACCGTGAACTCCACGAAGATCTCTCATAATGCATCATCTATGTGTGTATGACAACATGTTGGTCGCTGATGGGCCACATGCATGGTGGAGGTCCCACAAGATTACAATGGAGCTGAAAAACCCCTGTTGCTTAGTGATGCTGTAGCCAACCTTGTGTTGTTGTACGCTTTGTGGTGATGCTGGTGTGGACACACTTCCCGTGCGGTCTGTCCCACAAGCATATGGCACAGGTAGGGCAGGCCTTTGCCTGCTTAGGATGCCAGTTACAGTACCTGCATTCCACACCGGGAGAATTGGGTTCGAGTCCCAGCTTTGGCTCCCAGTGCCAGCTTCCTGCTAACCCAGACCCTGGGACACAGTGCTGATGATTCAAGGAGCCAAGTGCAGGGCACCCACGTAGAGACCTGGATGGAGCTCCAGCTCCTGGCTTTGACCTGGCCCAATCCTGGCCATTATGGGCGTTTGGACAGTGAACCAGTGGATGTACATTCTCTCTCCCTCTCTCTCCCTCTCCCTCTCTTCCTCTCTCTCTCTCTCTCTCTCTCTCTCTCAGTGAACCAGTAGATGGGCACTCTCTCTCCCCCTCCCTCTCTCTCTCTCTCTCTCTCTCTTTCGCTCTCTCTCAGTGAACGAATGGATGGACACTCCCTCTCCCTCTCCCTCTCTCAGTGAACCAGTGGATGGGCACTCTCTCTGTCTCTCCCTCCCTCTCCCTCTCTCTTTACTAATTTTTTCTTTAAAGTTAAAAAGCATAGCGCTGGCACCGCGGCTCACTAGGCTAATCCTCCGCCTTGTGGCGCCGGCACACGGGGTTCTAGTCCCAGTTGGGGTGCCGGATTCTGTCCCGGTTGCCCCTCTTCCAGGCCAGCTCTCTGCTGTGGCCAAGGAAGTGCAGTGGAGGATGGCCCAAGTACTTGGGCCCTGCACCCTATGGGAGACCAGGATAAGTACCTGGCTCCTGCCATCAGATCAGCGTGGTGCGCCGGCCGCAGCGCGCCGGCCGCGGCAGCCTTTGGAGGGTGAACCAACAGCAAAGGAAGACCTGTCTCTCTCTCTCTCTCACTGTCCACTCTGCCTGTCCAAAAAAAAAAAAAAGTATAGCATGTATAAGCATGTACAGTGCCTGATATGGACAATGATAGTGCACGACCATGTTCCTGGCTCACTTGGATGGTTATTTTAGAAAATGTTCTCTTCTACTTGTAAAAAGAAAAGTGCCATAAAGCAGCCTGCAGTGTCAGGCCAGCACCGCACACCCCCTGCCCGCCACACCTCCCAGAGGCCTGGGTTCCTCCTGTGCCTGATTTCCCTCCTGTTTGCCCGTGTGCCCTAGGCTGTGCACACAAGGACAAAACCGCCTAACCCCACATGTCTCAGGATACATCCTAGTCATTGAGAGACACACACGTGTGTGTGTGTATACATTCATTCATTCATTCAATCAATCATTTCAGTTATTCCAGGTTAAGTTCATCAAGGCAGAATGGAAAGGTAGGCAGAGGGTGAAAGGCGCAGGTCCCCAGCACCTGGTGTCTGACCTGCGGCATCCCGGTGACTCCCCCTCTTTGGTTCCTCAGCTCATCGGGGCGCTGGAGCAGGACGAGCAGGCGCGGCGGCAGCGGCTGGCACACAAGGTGCAACAGCTCATCCACGCCATGTCCATCGAGAGCTGAGAGCAGGAGCTGGCGTTCCTGGAAGAGGGACCCGTCCACGTTGTCGCGCCGGGAGTCTCAGGAGAAAGGACACGTGCAGGCGGTCAGGCTCCAGAGCTGCTGTCCCTGAGACGCCCTCCCGGCGCCAGCTATGCAGTTCCTGCCGGGACCGACAGTGGGCGCCAACCATCCACCCGCAAGCAAGGACCAGGGTGCGGGAGAGGAGAAGGCGGCTCCTCCAGCGGAGAGGCACGCGCTACCCAGAGCCCTGCCTCCGTGACTGCTGCTTTGCATGAAAACTCTTTGATGTATATTGGGGAAATAATGAGAACTTTATTTAATTTTTTTTAAGAAAAAGGAAAAAACCCAGAAATAAAACAAAAAAAGCCGCCCTAGTCATCCCGTCCAACTTTTGTTTAATTCCAATTTCTGTCCCCTTTTTCTTCTTTTCCCATCCTTCCTTCTTCCAAATGTCAGAACAAAAAACAAAAAAGCAAACAAAGCCTGCAAAAAGATCCGAGAGCAATTGGAGGAGATTAAAAAAATGAATGTCTCCTTTCCCTCAAAATTGCTTTTCAATTTTTTTTTTTTAAGAAGAAGAGGAGAATGAGCACAACAGGTTCACGCTGCGCGCTTTGCAAAGACAGAAGGCGCTAGAACCCGGAGCCATCGCGGCAGCCAGAATTGGAGGTGACTGTGGACTTTGTAGAATTACAGCCTCCGGAACCCTGGGCTTTAGGCACCACACACCTGTATGCTCTCGTCTCAGCAGATCTGTGTCTGTAGCTCCCATGCCGTGGCCAATGTGAGGTTTTTTTTTTGCTTTGTTTTATTTAATCCCAAACCTCGACAAATGAGGACCTGGTCTTTGGTACTTTTCCTTTTGGTGTCCCCAAAGTTACTCTCACAAGTAGGGCACAGGTGGGCCTCTCCCAGACCAGACCTCTGCGCCTCTCACACGAGGACCCTGGACAGCTCTGGCTCCCATCAGACCCTGTCGCAAAGCAGGCACCGTGGGGGAGCGGTGGAGGTGTGAGGGCCAGGTCTCCAGCGGGGGCCATCTGATGGCAGGGGAGCATGGCTGGCAACTCAAAAGAAAACAAAAATCAAGCACTGTTTACAGCAAGCAATACTTGAAGAGCGTAGGTTAGAGACACTGCAGTATTTATTATCGCACTTGCTTGCTTGCTCTCTCTTGTGCCTGGAGGAGAAGGCCCTTTTACTCACATGCGGAAGCTCTGGGCTTCAGCAGGAACAGCTGGGGCATCCCCACTTTCCTCTCCTCTTCTGCCTCCCTTTCGGCTTCCCGCTGGCTGGTGGGCTGGACGGATGTGTGGATGGTTTCTTCACTGTCTCTCCTGCTAACACTGGAGACCATAGACAAGCAGCGATCCTGGGTGTAGTTTGCCAATCAAGAGACCAAAGCTCCATGCCTGGGTCCAAGAGCCCCACAGAAGCCCATAGGAGTAACCAGGGGAACGGTGGCTCCCAGGACGGAGGCAGGATCTGGGTGGCCAGAGTGGCTGCCAGGGTGTCAGGCCTCCCACCGTGGCCCGCGTGCAAGCGGCCAGCTCCGACTTCTCTGCGAGCAGCACTGGAATGGGGAGAGGAAGACACAAAAAAAGCAACGAGTGGTTTGGGGGAGGCAGCAGCAGCCCAGCCTCCCTTCTCCCACCTTCTGCCTGCTAAGGGTTCGAGAGTCCCAGGCAGCAGTGCTGGGAAGCTGGGCCAGCTACCACAAGAGAGATCGTGAGGGTCGGTCCCTGTGATGAGCCGGGCTCCGGCTTCTCTGCACTCTGCTTTACCTCCAAGCACTTCCAGCTTCCAAAGGCTCTGCTGACCAACGCCACCGCCCAGGAAAGGGTGCAGGAGGCCTGGCTTCCACCCTTGTCCGGCATGTGGCTCTGGATCCCCACCGACCAACAGCACATGCCACCTGCTGCCCTCAGCTCCAGTTCCTTGCCTCCATGCAGCTGACAAATGGGAAAAACATCCAGCAAAACACTCAGGAAACTCGCTGTGTTCCTTAGAACTCACCACCAGCCATGCCAAGGCCACTTTCTTCTAATCACCCACCTCTGTTCAAGTTTCTAGGGCCCTGTTAACAGCCACAAAGAAACGCTAATGACCGGCCTCTGCGCTAAGCCAAAGTGTCTGCTCTTCGCAGCAATTCAGGGCCCGTAATTTATGGAGATGCAGCGAGAAGAGTGTGAACAGGAAACCCTGCTCCCTACACAGGATTCCCGTCCACCCGCCGCTTACTTCTCAGCTGGGTTGGGATGAATCTTCTGTGATTGTATTGCCGCTGAGACTGGCATTCAAGGCCTTGCTCCTCTAAGGAGAAGTGGGAGGAAGGCAGACATCTCAGCAACGTTGTAACCAGCACTGCCTCCATTCACCTGCCCCATGGGGACCGGTTGCTGCCTCTGGGCAATGCGCTTCCACGCTTCCACGAAGGGTTCTGGAGGCGTGGAGAATGAAGAGAGATGGCCGTGTGGACCATGGAGAAGAATGTCCCCGGAGTCACCTGTTTGGCCACAGCTCTCTGGATTCCAGGAGAGCTGGGGAAGAAAGTGGTACAGGGGCTCCCTAAGGAAAAGGAAGGCTCAGCTGGACAGCCGGGCCATGGGGGTGAGTGGCTGCCCTACAGCCTTGCCACCTTTCCAGCTCCCGCTCTGTGTCAGCTCCAGCAGTTCTTGGCTTTGGTCCAGTGGAGTCCACATCCTGCAAGATAGGGAGAAGGGGGCATTGGCTGGCCTCTCTCATCGCACTGTCTCTCTGTGGGTGGCATCATGGCCCTGTGTTAAAGCCACAGCCCCTCCCCACAGAAGCCATCCATCTTGGGGAGAGGCAGGGCGGGAAGTCTCCCTCCAAAGTCTGCCCCGCTCTGCTGTGTTTTGTGGATCAGCACAAGAGGCGGTCTTTGCAGAGGGTGCTTGGCAGAACAGACGATGCTGGTGGACACAACGCAGAAGGAGCCCCTCCCGCTGGACCCTACTGCCAGCGCCTGCCCTCAGCCTGGCGCGGGTGCTTCCATACTGGCCGCCCTACCTCTCTCCACAGCGCCTCACAAAACCATTTCCCATCCGCCACTGGCAGAGAGCGCCCCGCCTTCCAGGGGTCAGTCATTAAAAGCATGGACTGGCTGTTAGGCTGGCTGGAGGGAGGAACGCTTGCCTGCATCCATTCATCCCAGAACCTTCTTGGGAGGCAACTATCTGTGGGGCATGGCTCCAGGTGCTGGAAAAAGCAATGAAGTAGACCAAGCAGGTTCTTCAGGCAAGTGTGGATTCTGGCTGCTGGCTCCTGCCGCCGTGTTAGCAGGCACGGCTCCCCTCCCCCACTGGCAAAGGAAGAAAGCCGTCCCACCCAGCTGCCTTACCTTATTCTGGGGAACCCTCCCCCAGCTTCTACTGCTGCCGCCTCTTCTGACAGCCCTCCCCTGCTGCCTGTGACCCTGGGCCTTCCCCCCAATTCTACGAATGTGGACAAGGAACCCATTCAAGGTCCCTGGCCTCGCTGAGCAAGAAGCAGAAGCAATGCAGGGCGTGGGAGACTCCAAACCATCCAGCAGAAAAGAGAATGTCGGGAAGTCTCGCTCCTCCATCTCAAGGGGCAGCCCTGTTGCCTCACCTGCTCCCCACCCCCCCACCACAAGCCCATTCACTGCCGGAAATACTGAGCTGCACTGGGGGTGGCCACACTGAGCCACACCTGAGACTCCTGGCCACAGACAGGCGAATTGAGCGCAGGGGGCTCACTGAGTGAGAAAATGCAAAGTGGCCCATGGACAAGGGTCGCAGGGGACGTGGATGGCGTCAGGGCCTCCAGATGCCTTGTCGCAGAGGCATGCCGGGAAGACCATAACTCCCGTCTCTTCCCAGTCTCCTCCCTGTGAGCTTTCAGCATCGGGGGCTCCAGATCCCCATGAATGAAGTCTCCCTCTTGCTGTTCTCTCCCCTGTCCTTGGGGGCTCCTCCTCAGGGGCGTCTCGAGAGACGAGCGAGACCACCACGTTCAGACAGGGCCTCAGCCAAGAGCATGCTGGAGCCTCATCGGCCCCTCCTGGGCGCCACGTCACGTTCCCCTCGCCCAGAGCAGCTCTCCGTTCCCACTGAGCTGTCATCTTTCTCTGCAGTACAGCCTGCTCCCTGCTGCCTTAGCCTCAGGAAGGTTCTAGAACTCAGTCAAGCTCCTCCCTTTGACCGTACCTGCCTGGCTTATTGGCGTCAAGGTGGAACACACAGGGGCACGTGGTCCTTGCCAAACAGGGAGGATGTCCTTGAGTGTGGAGGAGGAAGGCAAGTTCCTGACCCGGGAGCCTGGGGCCCTGGGCCCACCTGCCTCCCCCAGTGCCGCCTACTCAGTCCCACTCCTCTTGACACACTGGAATCTGTATTATATATATTTTTAAGAAAATACAATGATGGTTGTCTGGTTTTGTTGTTTTTACAGGTGTTGTGGAATAAAAACTGTAAGAAAATTAAGTATTTAAAATGTTCCAATCAATCGGGGTTTTTTGTTATTCTAATATATTATTGTGTACCTATTGTAAATATGAAACACTCCTATTTTGCAAGCCAAGGATACAATTTTTACTGTTGTTATATATAAATAAAGTTTACTGGATAAAAAAAAATGAAACCTTGGGTTAGCCTGCTTGTTCCAGCAGCTTCTATGCAAAGTAACAGTTCCCAGGCCTGCTGAGGAGGCAGGGCACAACAAAACATGAGCTAAGCTGTTTTGAGAGAGTTCTAGAATTCTCTAGAATTCTCTCCGGGACCAGAGCTTATTAATGTCCAGTCATCATTGCCATCACTCACACACATACTGAGAGAGAGAGAGAGAGAGAGAGAGCGCGCGCACAGAGAGGGCTCTGCCATGCAGCAGTGGGTGGACACTGCCCCCTAGTCCCAGGATCCCAGAATGCAGCTTGCCTCCAGGGAGGCTGCAAGTGCAGCCTCTGGTTGAGGCCCCCTCCCATGGTGAAATGATCCTGAAAAGTGCCTTCATGCACCTGTGCAAATGTTGGCTAAGGCGGGCCCGGCACTGCGGCGAGCACGGGGGAATGAGCACCAGCTCTGCCCTCCCCAGCCTTGCCCTGCGGGGGAAATCCCAAGGATTCGCAGCAGGAAGGTTTCAGCCTTGTGTTGTTGCTCAGCTTTACCATTCAGTCCCGGGAGGAAAGGTAAACCAAGGGAAAGGTGCTTGGAGGTCCCGCACAGGGAGGAGAAGGGGGCCGACCCTGGGCCTGGGGAGAAGGTGCACGGAGCCCAGGAACAGAACGGAGAAGGTTGCCAGTTCTGCATGGGGGCTTGGAGGCAGGGAGCGAGCAGATGAGCCCCGGTCCTTGGGCTCCCTCCAACCTGGGGGTGCCGTCACCTCCCTTCCCTGC